AGCACCATCTATCAAAGATACTCTCCTTGATATGTGTTATTTGTACATTTGTCAATATCAGTTTGCTATAAATATATCATTTTATTTCTGGAATTTCTATTCTGTTTCATTTTTCTGTGAATCTGTTTTTATGCCAATGTATTGCTGTTTTAGTTACTATAGCTTTATTGTACATTTGAAGTCTAATTATAGTCTGTCTCCAGCTTTGTTCTTTTTGCTCAAGATTGCTTTGGCCATTGAGGATCTTTTGTAGTTCCAAACACATTTTAGGATTATTTTTGCCATTTCTGTTAATACTTTTTTTGTGTGTGTTGTGCTGGGGATTGAACCCAGGGCCTTGTGCATTGCATGCAAGGCAATCACTCTACCAACTGAGCTATATCACCTAGCCCATGTCATTTCTGTTAGGAATGACGTTGAATTACTCAGTAATGTGGTCATTTAGCAGTATTTATTATTGTGTGTGAAAACGGTTATATTTCAACTTATTTGTGTTCGCTTCAGTTTCACTCATCAGTGTTTTTAGTAGAGAGACCTTTCACTTCTTTAGTTAAGTGTAATCCTAGATATCTTGTTTTCTTATAATAATTATAAATGGAATTGATTTCTTGATTACCTTTTTGGATAATTCTCTATTAACATGAGAATTAAAATGATTATTTTATGTTGTTTTTTTATTCTGCAACTTTACTGATTTTGTTCATTCTAACAATTTAGGGTGGAGTCTTTAGGCTTTTCTATATGTAAGATCATGTGGTTGATAAATTGGCAGCTTGACTTGGTGATTTATTGGGATGCCTTTTATTACTTAGAGCAGAAGTTTTTAATTTTGATAATGTCCAATTTATTAATTTACTCATTTTATGGCCTGTTCTTTGGTATTATTTCTAAGAAATCTTGCTTAATCARTATCATAGTTCCCTTCATAATAGGGATTTTTATGCCACTGGCAGGAATTGCATTCAGGTAGTTCTGCTTCTGAAGCCTAGAGCCTTTTTTTTTTTTTAAATTTTTAGTTGAAGGTGGACATGACATCTTTATTTTGTTTACTTTTATGTGGTGCTGGGGATCGAACCCAATGCCTCACACATGCAAGGTGAGTGCTCTGCCACTAAGCCACAACCCTAGCACCCTGGAGTCTTTCTTTACATTGCATCTAACAATGCTATGTCCAGAGAGATAGTCCTTCAAAAAACAACAAAACCTGTCTTTTATTATAGAAATCTTTAGACGGTCACATAATAGTCCTGGAAATCTTAAAATTATTGTTATTTTATTATTATTAAGATTTTTTTATGGKGCTGGGGATGTGGCTCAAGCGGTAGCGAGCTTGCCTGGCGTGCGTGTGGCCTGGGTTCGATCCTCAGCACCACATACAAACAAAGATGTTGTGTCCGCCAATAACTAAAAAATAAATATTAAAAATTCTCTCTCTCTCTCTTAAAAAAAAGAAGATTTTTTGTTTTGTTTTCTTTTTTCCCCAGTACTGTCAATTGAACAGAAAGTCACTCTACTATTGAAATATACCTCAGACCCTTTTTAAAATTTTATTTTGAGATAGGGTTTAAGTTACCCAGGCTTGCCTCTAACTTGAGGTTGTCCTTACCTCAGCCTCTTCATTATCTGGAGAATTATAGGCATGTCTAGTGCACCCAGCAAGAGGCTTTATTTTATTTTATTTTTTTTGGTACAGGAGTTTGAACAGGGGTGCCTTAACATTGATCTGCATCCCCAGCACTTTTAATGTATTATTTTGAGACAGGATTTTGCTAATGTGCTGAGACCAACCTTGAACTTGTGATCCTCCTGCCTTAAGCTCCCTGGACACTGCGATTACAGACCCGTGCCACCATGCCCCACAAAAGGCTGTTTTTGAGAATTTGAATTTTTGCTCATTTTAGTAAAAATAATAGAGTAAGAAGAGAAAGTCACTTCTCTTTTTAAAAATATTTATTTTTTAGTTATTATTGGACACAATATTTTATTTATTTATTTTTATGTAGTGCTGAGGATTGAACCCAGGGCCTTGCACATGCTAGGCAAGCGCTCTGCCACTGAGCCACAACCCCAGCCCAAGAAAGTAATTTCTTATTGCTTGTGGTTTACCCTAGTTTTTCTGCAATAGGGCAACCACGCTGTTATTATATAGATTGCTCTACTTTGTTAATAGCTGACACCTCTTTAGTGTCAGGCAATGGTATACTTGTTACAAATACATATTTAAAACTTTTTCCTAAAATTTTAATTAGCTGAGTGATCTCAGTTGTTTGTATATGAGATAGGTGATTTGAATAATCTCCTATTTATACCAGAAAATACCAGTGGCAGGATCTGCATTCAGATTGTTCTGCTTCTTAAGCCTGGAGTCTTTCTTTATATTGATTGCATCTAACAATGCTATGTTCTGGAGAGAGAAAATCCTTCAAAAAACAACAACAAAATCAATTTTTTATTATAGAAATCACATAAAAAGAAAGAACACCATAAGAAATCTGAATGTATTCATTATTTAGTTTCAATAATCATCATCTTTCTGCCTCATTTTCTCCATATATTTCAGAAGATTTCTACCATATAGAACTAGAACTACATTTTTGCGGGATGGGGTGGAGAGTACCAGGGATTGAACTCGGGGGCATTCGACTACTGAGCTACATCCCCAGCCCTATTTTTTTATTTGTTCTAGTTAGTTATACATGACAGTAGAATGCATATTGACACATCATACATAAATGGAGTATAACTTTTCATTCGTCTGGTTGTCCATGATGTAGAATTACCCAGGTCATGTAATCATATATGCACATAGGGTGATAATGTCTGAGTCATTCTACTCTCATTCCTACCCTAATGCTCTTCATTCCCCTCTAGTTCAAAATACCACTACCCTCCACTCCTCCCCTTATTGTGGWTTAGCACCTGCATATCAGAAAATATTTGGCCTTTAGTTCTTTGGGATTGGCTTATTTCACTTTGCATAATGTTCTCCAGTTCCATCCATTTACCATTAAATGCCATAATTCCATTCTGCTCTAAGACTAAGTAATATTCCATTGTGTATATATACCACAGTCTCTCTCTCTCTCTCTCTTTTTTTTTTTGAGAGAGAGAGAATTTTTTTTTTTAATATTTACTTTTTAGTTTTCGGCAGACACAACATCTTTGTTTCTATGTGGTGCTGAGGATCTAACCCAGGCCGCATGCATGCCAGGCGAGTGCGCTACCGCTTGAGCCACATCTCCAGCCCTACCACAGTCTCTTTATCCTTTCATCTGTTAGGTTGGTTCCACAGTTTAGGTATTGTGAATTGAGGTATGTTCCCCGACCCTATTTTGTTTTGTTTTAGTACTGGGGATGGAACTGGGACACTCATCTACTGAGCCACATCACGCCCCCCCCTTTTAATTTTGATAACGTCCAATTTATTAATTTACTCCTTTTATGGTCTATTCTTTGGTATTGTATCTAAGAAATCTTGTTTAATCAGTATCATAGTTCCCTCCATATTAGGGGATTTTTATGCCATTGCATTTTATTTAGAGACAAGAGTTTCACTGAGTTGTCATGGCAAGGATCACAAGGATCAAACCCAGCACTTTGCATACTCCAGGCAATCATTGTATCACTGAGCCACACCCTCAGATTTAGGGGGTTGGGGGGGAGTTCTATGAATTTTTTAAAGCAATGTGTCATTAAAGGATGCATTAAAGGATATTATGTGTCATCTATACAGGTGTCTTTAGGATTTTATCCATTTGTCTCAAAGATATCTCTTTTCTTTC